CTGTATGCGAGGCACTTCTCTAAACTCTGAGGATAGGCAGTGAACAAAGCGTCAAAGTTCCTGACCTCATGAAGTTCTAGCAGTTGACTAGTTGATTTGTTCCAACTGAACAAACAAGGTAATTACAGTGTTATAAACGCTAAAAGAAAATAAACTGGGGTAGGAAGATGTTACTTTAGAAAAAATAGTCATGGAAGCCCTCTCCAAGGAGGTAACATTTGAGATGAGATCCAAAATAAGCTAGTCCTATCCAGTTGCATCGTGAACTGATAATGCTATCTCTTTACCCTCTTTTCTCCACTCCTTTCTTTTAATAATTAAGAATTCTCTGATTTATTCTTCAGTTCTCTGATCTCTCTATTCAAGGATATTCTTTTCTCATAGATCATTCACTGAATTTAAATAAAATGCAGAACAAAACAAAAACAATCAAAAAAGCTACATGCCACATGGATGCCTGACTCCTCTGTTCATCAGAGGAGTATCCTAAAGTTATCTGATTTCCCTTTACAAAAATTCCAAAAAATAAGGACCCAACCTTAAAAAAGAGCAGCTGAGTGGTATCATTCCTATTTCTGTATTAAATTTACTCTGTGGTCATATATAGTTATCTCCCAAATTCATAAACTGTGTTAAAATAAAAATCCTTTTGGAAGGCATGTTTTGTCAAAACATATCTGGGAGAAGTTCTAAGTATCAATTTGTAAGTGAGGAAAATTCTTGTCATGATTCTCATTTTCTATTGAGAGACATTGTCTCATTCTTAGACTGAAAGTAAACTTTTGAGGTTATTGTCAATATATTCTGAGTTACAAACCACAAAATCATTACAAGGCCCAATTCCAGTGAGGCTAACTGGAGAGAGCATTTATTCATGAATATACCAGAACCCAAAGTACAAAAGTAAATAGATTAACTACTATCATCTGACAAGTGAGTAGAAGCTAGCCAGAAAAAGGGAAACAATTGTTTTTCTAATTTTTAATTTGAGAAACATTTAAAATTTGGTCCAGTTCTACTTCCTATCCATCTGGATAAGATATAGACTATGAAATAAAACTAAACAATTTCAAAACCTCTTCCTTTTCTGCTCTGCTTTTTAAGTAGTGAAGAGAGGGAAGGTGAGGAGAAGGCCAGGAGAGCAGAAAAAGAGGAAGTAAGGGAGAAAAGAGAAAATGGAAGAATTGCCATACAATAACGAGCACTTTTCTGTTCTCATGCATCTGCTCTTTGAAATTCGGAGCCTAATAAAGGCTGCAACCTCTATCACTTTCCTCAAGAGAATACCACAGAAAAATAGTGCTCAAGTTGTCAGAGAAGAGATTATTTTAATTGGGTTGTGAAGGATGGGGAAGATTTAGACAGGTAAAAAGAAGTTTACAAATAAAATAATAAGCAATGAAAAGTCAACCGTACGTTCTTTCAACAAGGAATGACCTAGTATAAGATATGCTCTAGAACTGTTGGTAATAGCAAACAGGCGAGAAAAGAGAAAGAGATGCTATGAATCCATAGTGAATGTGTGTGTTCATCATTAGGGTACAATACATAATAGCTGTCATCTATTGGATGATAACAAAGTGGAATACACAGTGTTAAGTGCTTCATATATATATATATTCATATACATATTCATATATATATTTTTTTATCAGTCAGAACAATTAATCTGCAAAATGGTTTATTTACACAAAAGTGTCCTTAATAGACAGAAAATAGGAAGAAATCTGTCTCAGTGGTCAGGAAGGCTGATTTAGGAGTGAGGAGAGGGGCAGAGTTTCATTATGGATACACAGGAATAAATACACTGATCGAGAATCAATAGCAGTATATATCCAAGTCAGTTAGCTAGGTGACTCACCAAGTGAACAAAATCAGGAGAGTCACTTAGACAATGGAAGAGAATTTAACTTTAGCTTAGTACAGTTTCATCATTAATATTTATATTTCACATCAAAAGACAAGATCTGTTAAACAGATCTTGTATTAAAAGAGACGTTCAAGAGTCAAAAAAGAAAGAAAATTATTTGCCCCAATTTAGAGGACTTTGGTATATACTAGCAAAACATTCATAGTATTGGTGGGTATATTCCTTTTAGGAGGGCCATATATAATGTTTAGTACTAGCAGAAAATAAAAACTGTTGACTAAAACTCATTCAGTCTAGCTCTTGCCTCCTTTCAGATCTCTTCTTCAAGAGGTCCATGCCTACTATGTAGGAGGAAAACAGGCCACCAAGCTGGCCATCAGTCTGAATCAGGAAAGTAAAACTTATATAGTAACTGAACAGATTTTTGCTCAGCAGAACGGATTTGTATGTACGGGTGGAGGGTGGGAAGTGTCCAATATTGTTTTAATTACTTCCATAATTCATTGCGATTAGAAGGTTGAAAAAAGAATGGGACACATTTGTCACTGAATCTAGCTCAGATATTCCATGAAATTTTTATGGTCCTATTTATGTATCCTTCCTCCTAGATAACCCAGTCAATCATTCTGGAATAATCATCATCAACCAAGTTGAGCAGCAATCTAAAACAACCGCCATATGGCCAAAAGGATTGGATTAGCCATAACACAAGTGATCACTTTATTCTTCAGGAAAACCTGCACTAGGACTAAGATCATCAGGAAGGTTTTATACTTTAACTCTCATAGCCATTTATAATTTACTTATCCCCACAGTTCTATAACCAATGTTCTTTCCATAGATATGGACTAGTCTTTGCTTGATTAGATACAAGTGCTTTCTAATTCTTCTCTATTCATCTTAAAAACTTACAAAACATCTTAATCAGAGTATTTGATAAATTATTAAGGGAACCAAGAGTTAAGAGAAATGAATAACTAGATTTTAAACCATTGAGAATACAGTAATGGAGAATTTAAAACAAAAAAACAAAAGCAAACTAAAAAGACAGGAAAGATAAATTTGATGGAGTTCCTCTCATATCATGTTCTGTGGCTTAAGAGTTACTTAAATAGCTTAAGTCTTTTGAATTACTTAGATCTCTTGCCTCCCTCATTTTCTTACAGCTAGTGAACCTTTATACAGAATTAGTTTTCCTTGTGGGATAGAATTAATCTAATATGTTTCTACTAAAATCTTCCTTGGCCAAAATCTTACAGCTAGTTTTTAAATAATTTATGTCTCTCTTTGTTTTTAAAGGTTATATATATACATATATGCATTCCTGGGTCCTACCTATCTATGACACTACTTCAGAGTAGGACCTGGGCTTTCTAATGTGTTTTAAGTTCTATAGGTGAAAGTTGCTGCATCAAGTTACTCCTTAAACCAACCTTTCTTAAGTACTGGTCCTTATACTCATTTTAATCCAAAACAAGTTTTCACTGGACCATAGTGAAACAGGAAAGAAACAAGGAAAGCTTAACATCCCTTTTTGTTTTGTTTTGTTTTTTGTTTTTGCTGAGGAAGAGTCACCCTGAGCTAACACCTGTCGCCAATCTTCCTCTTTTTGGTTTTGCTTGAGGAAGATTAGCCCTGAGCTAACATCTGTGCCAATCTTCCTCTATTTCGTATCTGGGTCACCGCCACAGCATGGCCGACGAGTAGTGTAGGTCCACACCCAGAATCTGAACCCAGGAACCCGGGCCGCTGAAGTGGAGCGTGCTGAACTTAACCACTAGGCCATGGGGCAGGCCCCAACATCCCATTTTTAATTTATAAATTGTTGTGCTTCCCTTCCACTCTCCCCCTGCTTTTTGGTGTTAAAATAGTCTCCCTTTTGTTTATAATGTGGATGGCAGATATTTAAAATATAATGACTTGGCAAAAATAAAAAGTCGACCAAATCATGTAGGTACGCCACCTGCCCCAGCTTTTTTGAAATTTTACAGATCTGTGAAATTCAAAAGTCTGGGCACCTCTGCCTTTAAAAGATTTAAAACAAGAAACACATTGGAAAGATTCAGTAAGTAGGAGAGATGGCACATCAGTACCATCTTCCAAGGCCTAGGAAACGTAATTATGATCCAACTCAGGAATCACCTGAAAGATTCTCACTTCTCTATCTTCTCTAACAAGCCCCTTGCCTTATTACCTCCTTTCTCCCTCTGGTCCTGTATGGTTTTCTATCTTACTCAGTACCAATTTCTGCTTTTTTGCTTCTTCTGTCCTAATTTGATTTCTAAGTATTGCTCCAGGCACCCTCTCTCTTACTAACTTTCCAAAGTTGCATTTTCTAAATAAGCTCCCCAAGTCTAAATTATTCTACAAGTTCCTTATTTCTATATTTTCCCTTATTTACTTGAATTTCCAAAAGCATATTCTCTGTCTTTTTTGTTTTCTTTTCTTTTGTTTTTTAAAAAAGGTAACATGTTCATCATAGAAAATTTAGAAAATAAAAGAAAATCACACAGGAAAAAAATTAAGCCATAATTCCACCAATTAGACATAACTATTGTTAATATTCTGGTCATATGCAGTCAATGCTAAAATCACACCATATATACTATCATTAAATACTCTTTTAAATAAGAATTTTTAAATGTTTGATAGTACACCTAAGGACTATCATAATTTATTTAACCAACATCTTAGCTAAATTTTTTTTAAACAAGGAAAGTTTAAAAACCAGCATCTCATACTTATTTCTTGTACCAAATTAGAGCACAATAAAAATAAATAATAATTTTTTAAAAAGCAAACAAAACAGAAACCAACCACATGCCCAAAATTGAAAGGTCGTAACAGTTCTATCCTTTTAATTACATAGTATGATCCTTTTCTGATTAAATATTCCATTGAAGCGTTATTCAGCTTTACCCTCTTCGTTGTGTTTTTTGCAACTATCATTTATAGGGAGCAATTCCATGATAATTGGTGGAATTATGGATTATGTGTTGGCCAGGCTGAGCTTCATGTTAACTTATTTAAACAAATGATTAAATAAAACAAAAATAACTTAGATATGTATCAAACTAGCAATCCTAGATTCATATATTTCAATATTAAAAACATTTGAATTTTAATTTACCTGGAACAAATTTGACACAGCGACTGAAGAGAAACACTGGGCATATACGTTAAGGCAGCATTGTAACACAACAAAAGGAATGTCAACACTTCAAATCTAAAGATAAACCAAAAGAATATTTACAAATCTTTAGAATTCTAAGAAGTCAACCATAACTAAGCAGGCATTGGGGAAAGATATTATGTTACAGAACAGACCTGTACAATGTAATCACACCAATAACAATACAAAACTAAAAGGAAAAAGAAGATTTCCCAAGTAACAGTCATGAAAATTACCTTAAAAATTCAACGTTCCAAATAACACCTGAAGCACAGTATAATTGATAAATCAGGAAGATGTGCTTTTCTCTTGCATAAAATGACTCAATATTTTTTAAAAGTATTACACACAACTCATTAAACATTATTTATAAATCTACTAAAATAATTTTTTAAAAAATCAGTGTAGTAGGATAGTAGGTTTTGTCTCCACAGTATACCTATTCTGTGCTGTCAGCATCTCCCTCTGGGGGTGAGGTCCACTGTATACAACTTTTGACAAACCATGCTGGGATAGTGCACTCTCGGTCAGAGCCATGGACCCAATGCTGGAAGGCTAAAGAAAAAAAAGCCATGCTGTGGAAAATGTGATATTTAGAATACACACACCACTAAGAATGATTGTCGTAAGCATCATTTATCTTAAAAATATTCAGACTGCCTACTAATTTTCTGCTCAAAGATTTAACAAATAATTGAAAACCAAACCACAAATATAAATAAAGAATAGTTCAACTTCAAAAATTCTACCATGGAAATACATAATTGCCACAAAGAAAAAATTAGACTAGTCTTATCCATTGGAAGGAAAGAAAAATATTTCAAAATGAATACTTTCAATAGATCTCTTACAATCAGATTTTTGTTTAAAGTTTAATGATTTTGATTTCTCATTTCGCTTTGGTAATAGCAAATACTTTGTATGGTATTTTATACTTTTTAAGGTACTAATAAATTGATAAAATTTTTGTGTGTGTGTGTGAGAAAGATCAGCCCTAAGCTAACATCCGATGCCAATCTCCTCTTTTTGCTGACGAAGATTGGCTCTGGGCTAACATCTGTGCCCATCTTCCTCTACTTTATATGAGACACCACCACACCATGGCTTGACAACTGGTGAAGCAGTGCATGCCCGGGGTTCCGAACCTGTGAACCCCAGGCCACCGAAGTGGAACACGTGCACTTAACTGCTACACCACCCAGCCAGCCCATTGATCAAATTTTTTTACCTCAATAACCAGACCCTAATTTATAGCAACTTCAAATCTTAGAACCAATACACTTACTTTGATAAAATGTCACTTACTTCATGATATACAGATGGTTTAGATAAAGATGGAATCGTAAAACTCAATACTTTGCTATGTCCCTGTTTGTCAACTATTTCCTATAAAAGTGAAAGAAAATATCTTAAAATATCTATTTTTTACACATAAATTTAAAAGCTAAATTTAAATTGTTAGTCTAATAAAAAATACCTAAGAAAGGAATTTTAAAATGAACTAAAATCTTAAACTATGATAATCCATTATCAGGTATTCATCAATACCAGAAGTTAACCTTCCACTTTTAAAATATAAGTAACACATAGTTTTAAGGATGGCTGAAATACAGATGTAACATCTTCATAATCATTGATTTTTCTCATGTAAAAAGTCATATTTTCTAAATCCATTAATATAATTATGAAATATATCAAGAAAAGGCCCTTAAATTTCTTTTCCATTTTAAAAAGTATAAACCCCAAGTATGTAGAATGTCATACTAATTAATATACAAACACAATTAGCAACACAAACTATATGTTAAATCAATGGTGTGAACTCTGGAGACAGATTTTATGAAATTATTAGTGAGATATCAGACTAGATCTTTTCTCCCAAACTTTTTGTGAAAGTCACAGACAATTTATAGATAATGAATTCTAAATTTAAAAAATTTAAAAGTCAACATTGATATTTTCAGATACCTCTATAAAAGAATTGAAATGGTCTGATTTTCAGTCTTCAATCAATCCAGAAAGGTATATTTACATAATTATATATATGCCCATATAGCCCTCAACTTCCATAAAGTTAATTTTGGGAGAATGAGCTATGAGTCATTTGATGTACGAAAAACAAATATTAGCTTTACTAAAATGAAAAGTAGCTGCTATTATGTATTTGCTTTTGCTGAAAAGGTTATATATTTGCTTTTGCCATAAAACATTTTGTTAACTACATTAAATACAAACCAAATTGTAAACCCCTAGAAGAAGAGCTTCAATGCATCCGCTGCTATGCACATTTCTGCTGGCTGAGACCGCAAGGTAGCACCAAATCAGTTCTGGAAGAAACTGCAGAGTAAATCGAAGCAACTGTTCCTCTCCACTGCGATAGAACTCAAAGAGCTGGTGACAGACAGGTTCTAGCAACTGGAAGAAAGATGAAATGTTAATTCAAGGATTACACTGTATTTGAATGACACTGATATAAGAAATATAAAAGGTTTTCCCTGATCAGTAATTACTGAAATATATGTGTTTGCATTGGGGGGGGAGCAAAACTATTCACTGCTAAGCTATTTAGTAAACCTTTGAACTCTAGTGGAAGGCCAAACAGTGCAAAGCAAGTGTATATGGCAGCACTTTGTAAATTTTAAAATATTCTATAACTCTAAGATAGTATTGTTATTAAAACCATATCTTTTTAACTTCTTAAAATAGCTAGGTTGTAAGTTTCTTCCTTAATATCCTTTCTTCCTGATAAAACACGCCAATATATAAATAGATTGGCTACAAGGTTGGAGAAACTGAAATGGGAATAGTTACTGTCATATCGTCCTCCTGAGCTTATAACTAGGCAGCATTTGACAGCAATACCTGGTGTGTGGAGTAGTTGAATAATTATAGAGCCCCTAGATCTAAATCCCTATTGTAACCATGGTTAACTGCCCCTGGATAATGTAAACATTGCTGTCATTTTGTGGGTTTTTTGTTTTTATTGTGAGGAAGATTAGCCCTGAGCTAACATCCGATGCCAATCCTCCTTTTTTTGCTGAGGAAGATCAGCCCTGGGCTAACATCCGTGCCCATCTTCCTCTACTTTATGTGGGACACCGCCACAGCATGGCTTGAAAAGCAGTGCGTTGGTGCGCGCCCGGGATCCAAACCTGAGAACCCCGGGCCACCGCAGTGGAGCACGCGCACTTAACCACTACACCACCAGGCCGGCCCCCTGTCATTTTGTTTTAAACATGATTTGGAGTTATCTATAACCTTTTCCTCTCCCACCACACCCTCAGCATTATTTAGTTAATAGAGCTGATTGTATGTTTATAGACAAAAAATAGACATTTTTTTAAAATTAGAAAGTCAAGATAAGAGAGACTCTTATAGGTAAGTATTATGTTAAAGTATATACAATGATCACACATAAGTCAGAAATAAATATGTCAAGAAATTCACAGGGTACTGATTTTTCAAACCATCAGGCTATTATGTTTTCAATGAACCATAATTCATTCACTTCACTAACTTAGGCAATAGATTTAAGTCATTTTACTAAACATATTTTCCACTCTAATGAACAGAAACTAATTTACAGTGGATATTTTGATTTCAAATAAGTTAAATATGTAAAGTAAACTTGGTATAATTAAAGTCAGTATTATTTATAAAAGGTATAGCAAAAGTGACACTTCAGCAAACATTGACTAAGTCAAACTAATCTTTCCTATTGAAAAATTATCTAACTTCTGACAGTTAAGGAATATTTTTTTCCACTCTCAACATGGTAATTAGAAGGCAACAGGTGTCCACTGTGGCATGGCAAAGGTAACAGGAAACTAGAGGGTCAGAGGCAAAGTAACCCCATTCATAGACAGCAAGAAAAGTTTTTAGGGCAGGAATTTGAAAGAATAAGGTTGAGGGTGGTAGGAAGAAAGACTGGTAGGGGAATGTTTAGCTTTCAGGGTAGAGTTTTTAAAATTTCTTTGTGGCCCAGTGTCAATAATCTTGTATTGTGGTGTAACATCTCTCATCTCTAAATATCTGGGAAAGTATTTTTGATTAAATCGATATAGTCTAACAAGTATTTGCAAAATTATGAAACCTTATGTTGAAAGTTTATTCAATAGTCTGCATGAACACACAACAAATTTTAATCAAAACACCCTCAAAAGGCCTTATAACCCACTTAAAACCCAAATGAAGACAGATTCAAAGGGGACGTAGAAATTATTACGTACCTTACGTCCGTAGCAAGAATTACACACCTCATAGCCCTCCCCTCTGCTCCACCTCTTTCCATTCCCACTGACATTCCCCTAGTTCAGGTTCTCAGCAGCGCCCTCTTAGGCTATTGTCACAGCCTCCTAGTCTTCTTGCTCCTTATTTTTCCATTCTCCATTCTAGCCTCAAAATAGGCACCTTCCTAAAATAATAATCTAATCAAACCATCCCTTCAGTGCAGAAAAAAAAAACTGTAAACTGCTTAGGACGGAATTCAAGGCCCACCATGGTTACAATCTAAACCTGTCTTTCCAGCTTCAGTTCCTTCTGCAGTCTTATCCTCTGATTAACTACTGCATTCGCCTATGTGCTATTACCCAAATGCCATGTCTTTTTATTTTCCACACTATTTCCAATCCTTTTCTATTTCCACTATGAATGATGGGATTTATAAGCACTAGAATCCAGAGTATAGACAATTTTATCATCTTCAAACTAAATTTGCTATCTAAAAAAAGGAAAGGAGATGGAGGGCAAGAGGAAAGAAGGAAGGACTGGGGAAAGCACCAACTGGACCAAACTATTTGCCACTCCTTAAACGCCTTGCATTTTCTCAGGCCTCTGTATACTATCCCTGTGGCTTGGAATGCCCTTTCACCTTGCACACCTGGAAAACTTGTGCATATCCATCTAGACTCAGTTAAGCACTGCCTTGAAAGCATATGTTTACTTATTTTCTCCCCCTTTCCTCTTTCAGGATAAAGACCATGTGTTATTCATCTTTGATTTTCTATCACCTAGCATTGCAGCTGGCTCATAATGGGCACACAAATATTTGCTGAATGAATAAATGAATGTAGTGACCCAGACTTTTCTAGGCTACCTCCAGCAAGATAGGTAGATAGATAGATAGGGGAGGCGGAATATGTTCAGAGATGGCTTTTGGAATACGGTAATGATTCTATTTCTTGGCCTGGGGGACAGTACACTGGAGTTCATTTTATTATAGTTCTGTTTTTTTTTTTCACTCTGCCATTTTTTGACATAGAGTATTCTTCTCTTATACCTCCTACCTCATTTCTCAAAGGTAATCAGCTAAACACTCCATAACATATATTATAGTTCTTTAAACATACACTTTTTCTTACTCTTTTATATATAATCAACTGAATACTACTAGCACAATAAACTGTAAGAGTACTTACCTCACTTTGTGGCTCCTGGATAACTTTATAGAGAGATGAAACTAAAGAACTCTTGTCTTTCAAATTTGTGGCATAATTTGGTAAAGATGTTTCTGGTAGTGTCTAAACAAATTTAAAAAAATACATTTCATTTTTATGAAATTTCCAGAATAGGCAAATCCATAGATGGAAAGTAGACTAGCTGTTGCCAGAGACTGGGGGTAGGAGGAATTGGGAGTGACCAACAGGTATGGAGTTTCTTTTTGGGGTGATGGAAATGTCCTAGAATTAGATGCTGGTGTTAGTTGCACAACATTGTGCATATACTAACGATAACTGTATTTTCACCTTAAAACAGTGAATTTTATGTTATGTGAATTATATCTCAACAAAAAAATTGCAAAAATAAAACAAAAATATATTTAATCTTCTTATCATCAACAGAAACATAAATTAATATCAATACTTCATCTCTGATCATAGTTTGGGGTTAGAAATGAGAATACAAACCATGTGTAAAGCCAGAGTTATTTTTTTGTAGCATTATACAAGTTATAAATTTCATTAGCAGTATTGATCCTGCTTCTTAATATAACATGTTGTATAAGGATCTAATAATGTTTCAAACCTTAAAGCCACAGATTATCAAAGTAACTCCTGAGTTACATATTGTGACTGTTAAGTTAGGCAAGGCTGTTGTACTTTATGGAACTGGGAAATTTTAGACATCTTAGACCTGGAGAAAAAGATAGCCATGCTACCAACAAACTAGTTTTCCCAATGCCATTTCAAATATGGACAACTAATAACAGCTTGCCAGTACCACCCATTCAGAAAGGACACCATGACTGAGAGGAATGGGAAGAGAAAACTCCAGTAGTAAGTCAGATGATTTTAGGTAAAAGGAGTAGGGAAATCTGAAAACGAAACAAAACACTTCATTATAACAAATGATAAAAACCTATCCTTCTAGAGTATACCCCTTCCTTAACAACATCTGTCTCCCAAGTCATTATTCTTTCTCATGCAAATTACTTCCTTCAATCAATCAATCAATCAACAAATGTTAATCCTGTAGTAGATATAATGTCTCAAGATATTGCTAACAGTCATTCCAAGATATACTCTATTTCTTACATGTCCCATATGCTAGCATTTCATGATTTAAAGTGGGTTATGGTTAATGTATGTAGGTGTATGTGTGCATAAGTAGACATAGAAAACTAAACAGCATAAATTTTTATAATAAGGATATTTGATTCATTTTTACTTTACTGTGAGCTCCTTGAGGGCAAGAACTATCTTTTCATCTCTCCATCTACAGCACTCAGCACAAGGCCTCAAAACTTTGCTGAAGGAATTTATTATGGACGAATAGAATAAGAAATAAAAACTGTCACTGTTTACACCTGAATAGATTCTTTAAAAATGGGTCACATCTCACCTTAGGATATATAAGTGAATAGATTCTTTTTTTAATTTAATAAGATAGTTTTGTTTACCAGAGTGATAAGTAAATGTGAACCACCTGGGAACCTTCTACCACTCTCCAGAGCAAAAAAAAAAAAGCTTTCACTGCAGCTGCTTACATAAAGAGGAGATTAGGGCATTCTTCAATATTTCAAAAGCAGGTAACAAAAGATCTCCAGGCAACATTCCATTTTCGTTATTTGATCAAGAGTAACCTAATAGTGGGGGAATTTATACAAAAGGAAATAATAGTCAAATAAACAGCAGATTTCTAATCCCCTGAATGGAAATACATCTGAATTATATATGTAAAATACATTATGTGTGTCTGTGTGTCTATAAAATTTAATATTAAGTGAATTGAAATATAAATCTTAAAAAAATTATTAGTGAATAGAAAGACCACTATAATATTACATGTACTATTCTAGGCTAAAACTGGAACATTAAAAATGTGAATTACAATTTCCAGTTTATGTACCAATTAACCCTCATGAGGTAAAATATTTTCTGTGAAACAGCCAAAGGCAAAAGGACAGCTCTCTCCCTGAAAGGACAAGCTCTAGAAAAGACTCTAGACTTGGGCTACCACTGCTAAATGAAAGGTGGGGTCTCCTGAAATTAGTGCAGTGAAGTATTATATTTTATCACAATTCTGTCACTATTTCATTTTGTGAATGTGGGAAAAGTAACTTTTGTCTACAGAAGGAGAGAAAATATAATTGTTGTGTTTATAAAAAGTGCTCTGAAAAACTTAAGATCTAAAAGAGCCTAATGGATTAAATACTGTTACAGCAAACCTTTAAATTTTCTTGCACTGTACTAGTTCAAAAGTACTGGCCTTCTTAAATACCAGCTAAGCTTTCTCACTTTTCAGAAGACAGAACTGGAGACGGAAAAAAAAGTAATAATGGGAAATTAGTCTTGGCAAAATTTGAAAAAGACAGATGCTTAATAAAAGTATCATTTGGCAGATGGTTTTTTAAAAATGTAAGGAGGTGATATGGGTTGGGTGGAAGAGAATTAATGAAGACAGACAGATGGGTGGAGAATCAATAAATAAAACAACTCTGTTCAACAACATCACACATAAGACAGGATTTTGAGTCACATATGAGATTCAGTGACTATCAGAAAATCAAAAAAATTAGGAGTCTGGAAATCTGCTAGATTAATCTACACATAGCACTAACAAAAATACAATACAATCTGAAAGATAATATTTTACAAATAAATTTTTGAAAACATAGAGATTGAACTATTCGTGAAATCTTAAAATAATGAAATCCCAGTCTAATCACTTTGTTGGTATGTGAGGTTGAGAGTGAAATCTTAAAATAATGAAATCCCAGTCTAATCACTTTGTTGGTATGTGAGGTTGAGAGTTCAGACTGTGACCATAGAACAGTGCAGAGGTAAAATCATCTTCACAGACCACCTACTTCAATTTTTCTGATGAGAATACTGACACCCAAAGAAGCACGTGATTTGTCCAACATCATAAAACCACCTAGTGAAAGAATTATGATTAGATCAAAGGGTTTCTGACTTCTCAGCCCAGTGTACTCTGTACCATTTCATCAATCATCACGACCTTGGCCTTCTTAGCACCATGGTTATTAAATTAAACAACCAAGCAGAGGCTTCTTAAAATATATATATGTATATATATATACTCCCAAACTTCCTTTCTTAAATATTTTAACCAAAATATGTAATTAACATCACAAACCATTTCAAAAGACTAGCTACTCTAATTTTAAAAGTACTTAAGAGATTTGTTCTCAAGAACTTTCTATCTTCTATTACATTTAGTGTACTGCTGATTTTGCCTGATAACCTTAATCTCTTTATCAAACACAAACAGAGCTGAATTCAACAACACATCAACACAATTCAGAATAACACTCTTAAAATAATTTTCAGGAATGCCTATCAAATTAACTAAGGAATAAGAAATATCTTCCCTTAAACTGGCTATAATATAGATCTGACAATAATTTAAAACATTGGTTATATCAAACTGCTTAAAAATTGGGTAAATTTAATCTTGGGGAGTTAGGGGAAAATTAAATTAAACTACTTTTTATTTCATAGGTCCAGGATTTCACTCCCCTCCTCTCAGTGGAAAAGTTTCCTTACCCTTGAATTAAATTTATAAAAATTTTAATAGGGGCCAGCCTGGTGGCCTAGTGGTTAAGTGCGTGCGCTCCGCTGTGGTGGCGCAGGGTTCGTATCCCAGGCGCGCACCCACACACCGCTTGTCAAGCCATGCTGTGGTGGCATCCCATATAAAGTGGAGGAAGATGGGCATGGATGTTAGCCCAGGACCAGTCTTCCTCAGCAAAAAGAGGAGGATTGGCAGATGTTAGCTCAGGGCTGATCTTCCTCACCAAAAAAAAAAAATTTTTGATAAAATATTACTTAGATAATACTTTGTTTATTCACATCCTAGTTTCTTTTACTAGAAGATGGTATTTAGAAAACAAGATCCCAGTGCTTGGTGTTTTTGCTTGCTAGTTTTGCTTGGTATTTCAGCTAACAAAGCTAGGAAATATATGTATGCATATATGTATGGATACACATATATAAATACATCATAAACATATTTAGGCCCATGAGTTCATACTGATTCTTCTGATTCTAATCCAACACCTTAGGGTTCTTTCTTGCCTTTCCCCATTCTAATTCCTTTCTTAGACACGCAGAAACCTAACTCCCATTATTCTCCACATGTTTACTTATTTGCTCAAGGTAATCAAACTACCAATGTAACCACTCTGCTGACTCTTCTACATGCCACCTCTGCAACCCTTCACTCCAACCACCCACTTCCTCAAACACGAGGGCACATGGCTGCCCATACTGCTGCACTGTCCCTTTACCCATCACTACTACACTTCCTAGGGTACCAACATATCGAAGCCAGGAAGGGAAGGGAATAAACAAACAGATGGAAGGGAAGGGAATCAGTCATGATTTTCAATTATTTGCCTTAATAGTTGCCCTCTCCTCTCTGCCAAATCCTTTAACATGCCCTCTTTCCAAACTCCTATATTAAAGAATGCTAACTGGCTATATTTGCTTTCGCAAATTTGACTTCACCATTAAACATAAGAATATCCTAGAAGTGTTACTCAACTGTCAAACTTGACAATTTCCATCAACACGCTTAAAAAAAAAAAATCATGATATAATGAACCATATTAAACATTCTTGAAGCAGAAAAAAAGCTTAAAAACACCTTGAACATTTATTCACAAAGACAACATAGGCAGGAAAAAAGCACACACAAGATTTAATCAAACTATTAAAATATGTAGAAAGTACTATATACAGTGCACTTTTATAATATTCTACCATCACTTTATGACGACTTAGGGCATCCGTAGAAGAATACTCAATTTATGACTATAAAAGCTGACAAAGTAAAAATCTGCCCAGCCATTCACCAGGATGACATAACAATGACAGATAAGGCCAGCTGCAAAATTAACAGGAAACATTGTTTCTCTCAAGGACACACTGCAGCTGAAAAGTGTCATAACCTCTTTTTTTGAGTAACTACTGTATTCTTACTCACTGAGAAGCCTTGTTATCTAAAACCATAGATATCAAAAACCTAGCTGTTTAACATGTATCAATAAGAATGAAACATCCCACTCTTGCCTGGAGGATCTAAGTCACCTTGATGCAGAGAAGCAGGCTCGATTTCCAGCCTAGGTGCAGAGCTTCAGATAAGGGGTTTCTGAACACATTCCACATAGATGTTACCTTTGTAGTTTCCAATACAACAGGAACCTGGGTCCACTCCACAGTCCAGACCAGATTTTGATCCCATTACACACAGTTCTGCTTTATATTGAGCCCATCAAAACTGCTTCATTCAAATTTCATCTAAACTCCACCCTTCCTCCAAATCCTATAAGAATTTTATCTTTTTCTTTGTTTGGTGAGATGCCCACATGGTACCTGTTGTGTAATCTCCCACACGGAAACAAGCCAGTAAGTCTGACTTTGTCAGGCTATGTGTTTGTCCTGAAGGTCTGGGGCTGACTGAGCCAGACAAAAAAGCGACAGTTTCAGCCCAAACTCTTCATTCCTGTGGTTTATGATCACGAAGCTCACCTAATTATGTAAAATGAGACTCAGAGGACAAGGAGAAGGTAATTAACTGGTTAAAGGAACACAATTTTTGCTACCACAGAGAAGAGTTCATGAGACAATAAAACAGAAGTTTTATTTTCTTCATCAACTAACCAAAAGTCATACACCCCGTATGTAGGCACTGGGTTAGCCAAGTAGAGAAAGATCCACTGGTAGAAAGTTGGGCAAATAGCTTCCCATCTTCTCCTCATTGTTGATCATGCCCACTCCCATTGCCCCCCAAATTGGGAGAAACATTTCAGCACTGAATCTCTGATGGTGGTTGGAGAGAGTGACATCAACATTCGGAGAGTTTATTCTTTGTGGCATTGCCACAAAAAGGAGCAAACAAACTCTTTGAACCACTTGGGACAAAAAAGGAATCAATTTCTTAGAAAACATTACTATGTCTAAATAATTCCTTATTAAGATATGTTGGAACATACTTCTGCTTCCACAGATATTTAGCTTTTCAGTCATAAAAATAAAAAAAAAACACTGAAATTTAAACCCCAGGGAAAACTTCTTTGGAATATAATTATTATATTATATTACCTTAAACTCTGACAACCATTCCTCCACAACCCCTTTCTCTGAAGTGAACATCTTTCCACATCTGTTCTAAAACTTCACCCTGAAAATTAAAATAGAAAAATGTTAAAATTTTGAATATATTTTCTTTGTAGTCAGATTACTATGGATAGAAGCAATCTTATCAAATATAGTTACTTCTTATTTTGTAAAATTAAGGCAGTTTCAAACATAAATTACTGGGGTAATTTCAAAACCAACATGCACAAACAAGCATTAAAATGCAAGGATTTTGGCAAAAGTGTAAATATCATAACATGATGCAACTGGTTCTGCAATTTTCATTTAGCTCTCAGAAATGCCAGCTGCAAAACCTACTGGACATTTTCCCCTAGTTTCAATTAAATAATTCCAAATAGATCATGCATCTTAAGAAAATATTTTAAAACTGTGAAAATATAAAAAAGACATGCATCCAAAATTGCCTTTTAGAAAGCATTAAAGTAATTTAATTTGCTTATATTTCACTTCTTTATAACAGTAACAATCTATCTAGGCAAGCCACTTGGTTCCCTGAAAGTTTAATATTCATAAAACAAAAGTAAAAGTGATAATATCCAACATAACGACCATATTCAACAATAGTAATTCAGACGACTGGGATTTACTTAAGCATTAACGGGAAAAAAAAGGAAGCTAAAGGAAAATGCAAAACAAATTTATCTCAAGCAAAATTTCTGTCAAAGTACAATGTAGTTTTCTTCCCCCATCCACGTATATGAGAGTAGACTTAGAAACTGCTTCTTCAGGGAAAATCTTAGCTCTATCTGAATTTCCTAACCTCCTAATTCAGGCACAAATCCTGCATTAGGCTTCTTAATTTTCATCAGCATTATCATAGCAGAAACTGAGGCAGAACTGCCAGAAACTGAATCTTGATTCTATTGCTTACTTATAGTATAAACTTGGGCAAGTTATTTGCTTTACTTTTTTCATCTGTGAAATAGGAATAATCACAGTACCCACTTTCCAGGGGTTATTGTGAGGACTAAATGAAAAAATGCAAACAAAAGCACTTATTACAGTACCTGGCAATCAAGTATTAGTACTATGCAATATTATTATTGAAGAATATCAATTCTTATAGCCTCTGCTCAGCTGTCTATCAGAGTATACAGATACGCCTTAACGAACAACACAGATTCTTGCCAAAGAATACATTCTAAAGTCTCTGTTGTCTAATTCCCATAAAAAAATAGTTAAGAAAAAAAAAAATATATATATAGGTATATATACATTCATTCATGAAGAATTACTTGAGAGATATGCATTTTATTTTTCAAAATAAAAAATAACTCTTTTATTTTTTTACTCTAAATTTTATCCTTGGATCAAGTCAGTCTATCAGAAAACCACATATCTGTACCATATTATTGATTTTATATAACTGTCTATTCAGATAAACTGGGCTTTGGAATTATGTCCAAAATATTACTGAAAACACTGCTAGATCACATTACCCCTTTAAAATCTAACAGGAGAAAATTCACATCTGCATTTTTCAATACCAGGAAAAACTCTTCTTGACAGTAACTGATTTGCTTTTACATTATGGATACTGTGAATCTCATAACTGACTCTCTTTGCTTTGATTCTACTAAAATGGGAGTCAAAGTTTCTGCCCGAACTCTGTCCACAAAAAAGCAGGCCTGGATTAATCTTTTCTATTGTTTTATATTATACTCTTACCCTTATTTTCTTTCTGCCTGGATCTACTTATTTTTATCCTGTTATATTACCCATATTTGCAAAGTAAATATAAACACACATGAATTTTCTTTGTATTTATCCATTGTTTATCTAGTAAATTAGTACGGAAAGTTATCACAACTAGAACCATGCTACATCAAATTACAGAGAATTGGGAAGGTAAAATTTTTACAAAAATTCAAAATAACTCTCTAGTTAAGACTAAATTTTAAAATGTTAAAAGGAATCAAGAGGGATACGCAAAGGATCAAAAATAGTCAAAGCAATTTTGAAGAACAACAGAGCTAGAGGACTTGGACTTCTAAATATCAAGGCTTACTATAAAACTTACTAAAACTGTAGTAACTAAGCCAGGGTGGTATTATCATAAGGGTCAAAAAAAACCAACAGAACAGAACAGAGTGGCCAGAAACAGACCTATACATACATGGTCACCTGATCTATGACAAAAGCGACACTGTAATTCAGTAGGGAAAGGATAGTCTTTATAATAAATGGAGCTAGGTCAACTGGACAGCTACATAGGGTAGGATGTGTTGGTGGGGAGAACCAGGACCTACTAGCTCATACCATATGCAAAAATCAGTTCCAGTTGGACTGTAGATCTAATTGTGAAAGGTAAAACATAAAGCTTTAGAAGAAAACATAAAAGGATTTCTTCATAACCTTGGGGTAGGCAAAAGTTTCTTAAACAATAGGCACAGAAGCACTAATGATAAGGAGGTAAAAAAAAGATAAACTGGACTTTATTAAAAATAAGAGCTTCTATCTATTTACAGATGAATGGATAAAGAAAATGTGGTGTACATATATACAACGGAATATTGTTCAGCTTTAAAAAGAGGAAAACCTGCCATTTGCAACAACATGATGAATCTGGAAGACATTATGCTAAGTGAAATAAGCCAGACACAGAAAGACAAACACTGCAAGATCTCACTTATATGTGGAATCTAAAAAAGTCAAACTCATAGTTACAGAGAGTAAAATGGTAGTTTCCAGGGGTTGGGGAGTGGGAGAAATGAGGAGATGTTGGTCAAAGGGTACAAACTTTCTGTTATAAGACAAATAAGTTCTGGCAACCTAATGTACCGCATGGTAACTATAGTTAACAATAATGTATACTTGAAATTTCTAAGAGAGTACATCTTAAGTGTTCTCACCACACACAAAAGAAATAAAAACTACGTGAGGTGAGGATATGTTAATTAGCTTGATTGTGTTATAGCAAAATATCAAGTACACCTTAAATATATACAATTTTTATTTGTCCGTCATACCTCAATAAAGCTGGGGGAATAAAAGGAAGAACTTCTATTCATCAAAAGACACCACTAAGAGAATGAAAAGGCAAAGCCATGGCATAGAAGAAGATATTTGCCATTCATATATCCGACAAAAGTCTCACAATCCAGAATGTATAAAGAACTCATAAATTACTAAGAAAAAGGCAGACAATCCAACAGGAAAAATAAGCACACTACTTATCCAAATGGAAACTTAACATATGAAAGGTGCTCAACTTTGTTAGTCATCAGGGAATGTCAACTAAAACCCATAATGAAATATATCGCGCGCGCGCGCACACACGCACACACACACACACACACACACACACAAGGACACTTGCAAGTATGGCTAGAATGAAAGACAGATAATACCAAGTGTTGAAAAAGATATGGAGCAACCAGAATATTCATACACAGCTGGTGTGGATGTAAATTGGTACTATATCTTGGAAAACTCTTTGGCAATATCCTATAAGCTTGAACACATGCATTTTCTATGGACCCAACAATTCTACCCATAAAAATATACCCTACAGAAATGTGGATATGTTCCCTGAAAGATGTGTTCAGGAATACTCACAGCAGCAATTTTTGCTGGAACATGTAGAAACAAACCAAATGTCCACCAAGAGTAGAAAGGATAGATTATAATATACCATACATGGAGTTTTATACGACGACAATGAACTATAACTACATGAATGTCACAATGTTGGAAAAAAGAAGGTAGATAAAAGAGTGCATACTATATAATTACATTTATACAAACTTCAAGAACAGGCAAAACTAGTCAAGTGTGTTAAAAGTTAGGATAGTGATTGCTCTTGAGGGAGTTACTTCTGGGGTTCTGGTAATAGTCTGCTTCTTGATCTAGGTGCTGGCTACAAAAGGTGTCTTCATTTGGTGAAAATTCACCAAGCTGAACACTTATGATTTGTGCATTTTTCTGGGTGATTATTATACATTAGTAGCACCAGACAGCCTCAGGCCTCTTAACTTCCACTTAGAAATCAAATAGGAGCCCTCAATTGCATAGCTGAGTTCACATGACTACTCACTAGTTTAGCATGTATGCAAGCTCAAAGTAAAATTGTTCCTCTCCACGCTTCTTTGCCTCCTTCTGCAGAGCTCAAAAGGGAGTCCTCAAAACACCTCCCTACCCTGAAACTTTCACAACCTCACCACCACTATCTGTCTCAGGTACACCAGGACTCAAGTCATTATTCCCTTTATCTCTGTTTATGTCAGGAACCACAAGAAACTACAGCTTCCAGGTTACACTCAGCCCTTGCACACTATATCTCCATAACTCTGCACACCCCCTATTTTACCCCCATCTCCCATCCTACGCTAATTCTGGAAGGAGGTTCTCTTTCGCTGTGCCTTTTGGAATTGACAATCTGTTACCAGCAAAATCCTCTATATCTTCAACAGTTCTCTGATTGTCACTGTCTTCTTGTTCTAACAAGAAGCGTACCTCTTCTCTGAAGACACTGCTTTCCCTGAAATCTTTTCAGAGAGTGACTGCTTTTCCTCACATGACCCTGGAAGAAACCACTAGGCCTAGAGGTAAGGTAAGTGTCCTCCTCCCTCTTTATTACTATTCTAGATCATTCTCCCTCTCTCCCTTCGAATCATCCACTCAATGCTGCTTTGAAATTCATGTAGCTGTCATCTATCAGTCAATCCTCCCCATCCCTCCCCTTCATTTCTAGATGACCTTAGCTCTGGCTCATTGTCACTCTTTCAAACTACTTCTATTTAAATTCTTAGTGATTTTTTTCTCATCTCCTGAACTCTTAATTTCTAAAAATCTCCTCCAACAATATTGTCCTCAGCTATTCAATCCTATGATCATAACCTAGATCAGCTGTTCTCAAACATTGTAAGGTCAAGGCCCTTTTACAATGGGTTGTTGTTTTTGTTTGTTTGTCTTTTTTTTTTTTTTTTGCTGAGGAAGATTCTCCCTGAGCTAACATCCATTGCCAGTCCTCCTCTTTTTGCTGAGGAAGATTAACCCTGGGATAACATCTGTGCCCATCTT